AATGGAAAGTGGTTTCATTTATTGGGAAACTTACTCGATTCAAATGTCTTGGAGTCCAAGTGCTTTGTGGTGGAGAAGTAGATGTACCCGAAGTCCCAGTTTTGTTCATCTGTTGTGAGTGTGGGTTGGGAGCGGATGAGCCACTGTTTGGGTAATTAAGTGCTGAATGTGTTTGCGCTGAAGGATGGCTGGGATCGTAAGTATTATAAACTTGATTTTCACCACCAGTTCGTCGATCGGTTAGCGTTTGGTTTTGGATATGAGTGCGCGTCGGCATCATTGACGAGTAGACATCAGTAGCCGAACGCTGCAAACTATAGTCCAATCCCTCGTGTTTTGCTGATTGTCCCGAAATGATACCAACGCCTGACATGGAATGAGTCTGGTATTGATGACTGATATTAGAGTTGGCGTTCGCTGTGTTCTGTGGGTCGGCGCCCATTTCAGGTGCATTCGTGTGGTGCAAACTTCTGCATTCAAATCATTGTTAATCAATACCTGTGCATCAATTCATTAAAGGAATGGTATACTTGGCTGAAGTATTTGTGCAAACAATATATTCCACATCATTGGTGTATGGATTAAGGAAAGCAAAACTACTGGTCCTCAGCCAAACCCAATCGCAGTTCTTTGCCCGGAACCGATACATAACAGACATAACCTGACCCTTAAGTTTGAGCACTGGAAGGGAATGAGAAATTGTGATGACATGTTCGACACGAGTGGATGGATAATGGATGCAAACCCTGTTCGAAGCTCTCTTTCATATGGTTTTGGTCCTCCGGATGGAAGTAATCGAAACAAGTCTTCCCCAGAAGTTCTTGCGGCTGATACCCGAGGATAGCAGAGACGCGTTGGTCAACGAAAGTAAACTTGCCGTCCATACTATGTCTCGAAATGAACTCATTGTTGGAATTGGATCCCATTAGGTCACTGGTGTTTGGTGTTGACGTCACTTGAAGTCTTCCGATGGCAACGAGACAACAATGAGAACCTCCGTGTCCTTCGTCACTATCTAAGCGATCCATTTGAACGCCAGTTGGCGGCCAGTTCTTGATATATCCGGTGCAGTGAACCACGGCATACGAGTTGCCGTCCGGTGAATGGCCTAAACTGTTGCGTTGTCTCATACGGTGTATATGACTCGGGGATATGCTGTCCGGTTGGACGTTCCCGATCTTCATACGACATATGAAGCCACGCCTCGAACCCATACATAATCGCATCGATGACTGATGGCCTTCTTTCTTAACAGTTCCCGCTATGGATTGCAAATCATTTCCATTAGTTACCTAACTCTAAATATTTCAAACAATTAATTACTTTTCAAATCAAGAATTCGTCCCGAATTTGGAGATTCTTGTGTTGAGAGCTGTTCTCTAACTTTATCGACGTCTTCGTTATGTATTATGTCATAAACACATGAATTGAAAAAATCAGTCTATATTTGAAGCAAAAAATAGATTCATTAGTAATATTGTTATAAAAATCATATAAGAAATAAGACCTGAGAGTGATTGAGAACAGGTGTGACCGAATCGGACACATATATGATACGTCCCGTATCACAGGCCACCACAAACAGAAAGCCATCGGCAGCCTATACAACAATTATGCCAATCAAGTGAGTCAATGATACGACAATTATCACCATTTATAATATCACTCTTACTTCAAGTATTAAATGTTTGAGTTCTTGATCAGTTAGAAACGATGGCTTATATGTGCCGTCACTACTAGTATTGCCCGTTCCTTAACATCAAATCAAATATCACATTATAATCACAGATATTACAGCACCTGTATTACACTAAGCTATTCTTATTTTATTAGTATAAATAAAGTGCACATTAATTCATCCATTATAAACTTTAAAGATCATTTGTCAATAGAAATTCAATTACTGTCATTAAAGACTTGAAAACTAAATTCTATGCTTTAGTTAACTAATTGATAGCAATTTTAATCCAGCTCATAACAAGATATCAAGAATCAATATGATGCTCATTAATTGGTGATTGCATTAAAAAGGCATGGATATATAGAAAATCTAAAAAAGTATACGGGTATAAGATTTCCAGTAAAGTAATTTAAAAATGTATTATAATTTCCATACAAATTAAATTACCGGTACAATAAAATATGAATGAATATATTACGAACAAAACCAAAATATTATAAATGTGTCTCAAAATGAAATCTTATTGATATTCAAAGAAGTGCTGTTATGTTATACTGAAGATTCGTTTGGATATAAAAGCGGATATTTATGCGAAAGAATGTGTGAATTGAATAATAAGTCATAAATATATAGATCTTATTCCAGACGAGAAGAGACTATAAATTATATAATACTTCAAACAAAACATTTTAATTATTAAAATTGTTTTCAGTAAAAATAAAATCAAATCTTATGAATGCAATATTCGCGTTAAAATTGTTGCTTAATTTGTGATAGGATTATATAATGTATTATATAATTGGTTGATAGATAATAATTGTATAAATATTTGGGTTATTCACGAAACACAAAGAAATCAAATCAAACGGATACTACAGGTCTAGTCATTAGCCAATACTAAAGATTATTACAAGAATTGCATGATTTTGCTGCACAAGACACGACTCCAACCAAACCCCGGAGCGATTCAATAGTGTATATAATAGTGCAGTGTTTGGCAAAAAACAAAGAGAGCTCTCACTTAAACTAATCGACAAGAATTGCATTCGTTTGGACCCCTATTCCTAACTCGCCTTTCCATCCATTAACTCAAACCAATCCATACCATAACCGAAATGTTATAACAAAACCTCAAAAAACATAGCATTCATAACATTTGACCCAAACCTCAACTATTCTCCCCTCAATGTATTGATGACTGACTCCAACTCACAATCAAATATTGATCACTAGTTTTCATATAATTTTATTATACAGTAATACCATTGATTTGTTCGCAGAGTAAAAATGAAAAAATGATGAATAATTGACAAAAATGTTTGCACTTTTCAAATAGGATATGATATTTTGGCAAAAGCCACGACAATAAGACAATGAATGACAGACCTCTCAAGGACTTCATGTGCGCGACAGCCATCCTAAGAATGGTGAGTTTGTCTGGTTTGCGGGCCAATGCACTACAAGTGGGCACCATATCAGACAATTCAGTGATATATGCGGTCATCTTATTCCGACGCCTTCTCTCTATTTCGCTGTGATTTTCCCTACATTTTACACAAACACACAATAATACAGACAATTACTGGTCATCTTAAGACATCCTACAGTCATCACTAGTACTCTCACCAAATCTTACAGATTATCACACATTTAGCATCTTTTCTATCTATTCCTTCACTTTGACATCCATTTTAAATATATGATACAAATTAATATAATTATCACTCTTATCATCACAATAACCATATAATGAGTCAATTAAAGTGAATCTAAATCAACAAAATTGAGTTCAAATGCAATGCATATTCATATTAAATATCATTGAAAAAGTGAGAAAAGCCTTGAAATGTACGGATTGTATGCATTGGCAATGGTTTGCAAATAGCAATCAATTCACTAATTCATAGCAATAGTAGTGAATTTCGTGCTAAACATATGATAATCATAAGAGTGAGCAATGGGATGAGATATAGGTGATGATTCAGGCGGTGATGGTGGACATGATGAACATACCTGGCGAACCGTTCTTTGTCTTGCATGCCTTCCTCCTCCATTCTGTGGCCGTATTTGGCGGTCTGGGTGTCAGCCATCAAACACTCAACACTACTGTCTTCAGTGGTCACCGATGTGTCAGTGGATGGACACTTCAATGCCAAACAACACACACTTCAATGGCTATTGTATTGACCACTCACTCAACCACTACTACAACAACAGCATCACATAATTCAGTGCATTTGCATCCATTGAGCCTATAGTCAGTCCATACAACTAACACATATCACTCCCTCTCTCATCAAAACTATTACTTACAAAATCTATTCACAACTTTTCTATACATTTACCATTCAATGCAATCCTATGCCCCGGTCTATGATAACTCATTTGCATTGAATTATTATACAGTAGTTATAGTGTTTCATAAATCCAATCATTGCAAACATATACACTATTTACGGGTACATACGTATCAAATGAGTCATAATTTATTAGATTTTATTATAATTTAAATGAATTAACAATAATATAAAACAAAACCGAATTGTCGTTAATTGGGTTCAAAGAGTTTGAAGTGTGCGCTCTCTATCTTCTCGATGGTCTTAAAGCCCGGATATAAACCGTTTTCTTTTGTATTTCGATTCAATCCTTTACTAAAACCTGTAATCAATGATCGCATTATTAAATGCCGAAATAGATTATTGTATATACCGTTAATATATGGTACTATATATCTATCAATTCTATACATACCATTCCAATGGTTTCCAGCAATTCCTAAGAATAAACAAAATAGCCGTCAAATTGCTATAATCACTGATGTCTCATATTTTCATACCAATTATGTCTCCAATTTTAAGATTAATCTCTTGTTTGTTGTGTGGGGTGTGACTCAGAACAGCGATCTGGTTGTGATCAGTCTGACCGCCGAAGTAATAAATATCATCCAAAGAGTAGAAAGCACTGGATTTGTCTGTTTTGGCGAACTGTGAGTTTCCATGAGTTCTGGTTTGCATGAGTTCGTAGGCGAGGCGACACACCTGTGAACTGAAAGTGCAAACCAGGAAATCTGATTCACTCAAGAGCCAAACGTCTAATATTATATTTCGCAACGAATCGATTGAATACCGGCGCCCTATACTTGCAGTTTGCGCTAAAATCAATCACATTGCAATGCATTAAAACATAAGTCACATTCATTTTAATAAATATGAAACTAACATATCTGGGAATCACCGATGAATACATAGCCCTTATCCTCAAACTCCTTGACCTCTTTGGCCCACAACGAGGAGTCATCGGTCGCCAAATATACCAAACGCTCGACTTTTTTGTTCTTAAAAACGAGTCAACAATCAATACATTTAAGCATTAACTGGCTTTCAATGAAATTACATTTTGTTTGCGTTCATTAAACAGATCCAATCGGTCGTAATAGTCGGCCACAAATTTCATGTATTCAGACAATGGATGAAAAGCAGCTTCAGTTCCGATTTTATCGGTACGTCTCACGTGAACGCCCACTATAGGTGTCTTGAATTTGAAGCGATCTTTTTGTTGATTAATATAATCAGTCATTTCAGGCGACGGTCTCATCAAATAACTGACGATTTGGCCGATAAACCAAACAATGGGTGAGCCGTGCAGTTGGATCAGAGAGGATGACAACTCTTCGGGTATACTAAGCGGCAGATAATTGGGTCGCGACCGCAGAGAATCAATAATAGGCAGATCAATGACCTGATATGAGTCGAGATCGGGGGCTGAACTCCAAGATACACGAGTGGAACCGCTTTCGTCTAAACACGTCTCACTTAACGGCAAGAATACGGAGTTCCAGCCCTTGGCTTCAGAAGACTTGGACTTGGAGTGAGCGTAACGCCAGTTGTGAGCATTCATTATGAGTGTCCGCTTTGTGGCCATTGAAAACTTTTCGAGAAATTTAAACAATCAATTAAATGACAACTGAATGTAATATATATAATATGAATGAAAGAGTGAATGACTGTATACTGGATACTAACAATCATACAGTAAGCCAAGTGGTGGATCTGACAGCCGAATCCACATCCTTTGTTGAGCTGACAAACCAACTTCTGTGCGGATCCACACGACGAGGGATTTTGCAATTCCTTTATCTTATTCTGGACTAATTCACTTAAGCTCTTGAGTTCGGATTCACGCCAATGTTTATCTCGATTTTCGATGATTCCTGTCATTCAACGAAAACTATTAGAAATCATTGACAACTAAACGATGAATGAAATGCAGACCCAAATCGTATAACAAGTTATGTTTCATTTCATTCACGGTTTGCATTATCGATGAATTGGTCTTAGATCTCAAGAAATGCCACAATTCATGGACATTGGTCTCAATGCGACGTCTGGTTAACTCGTACTCTTGTGACGGCAATTGTGACTTCTTAGCGTCAGATGTGGAGGAATGACTCATTGATGACTCGATGGGACTCAAGTCAATGGGAAGATAGTTCTGGAGAAGACTTCTGAGCTCTTCGTTCTGAGCCTTAAGAGCCGTCAACTCATTCATGGCTCGTGAAAGTCGGGCCAAAATCATCTCTCCGTTGCCATTGGAGTCGCCGTTAGCCATACCATCCTCACGACTGTGTGACCATCCGATCAGTGGACCCGTTATCACAAATATTATCAAAAGCCATACAATGACAACAGCTGTTCACACAAACCATACCATTAGACATCAATTTCTGTACAATTCATACCATTTGAATACCAATTAAGAGACGACTCGCAGAAGTCACCGAAAATGATGTCAACATTGCCTTTTCTGGGGATCTGACTATTGATTGCACTTTAGTTTAATCACTCATCCATTGAGTCGGTCATCCATTGATCATATCATGTCATGTCTTCGCGTCTCAATTAACACAACAATTCATGTGATATTCATGTATTCACTCATATCTCAGTTGTCAACACAATTCTCAAATAATTTGCACTCAATTCACACCACATTCGCAAACAATGTTACCATTGTATAGCAGTGCAGGGTATTAGTTGCTTGCGAATAATTAGAACTTACTCTGCAATGCAGAGTCTGCATTATGTTCTAGCTCATTTTATTACTTGCCTTATTAAAAACTTAAATAGTATATAAATTAATTATTTATTTTTAAAATTTTCATCATTAGTATTATTTTTTCTGATACATGTGTTTGTGGTTAATTATTAGGGTTGGTCAAATATAATAAGTTTGGTGTCAAGTTTAAATTAAAATGTACTTTCTATATGCTGTAATAGTTTAAAATATAGCTTATCTGTATTGAGTTCAACTTGGTAACAATAATAATCATTGTAATAATAATGATTTAATGAATTAAATTCTAAGAATTTCAATTGTAGATTATATAAGAAATAGTATCTATGGATAACTTACTTCATTCCTTTAGAAAATTCTATTTATCCAAAATTGAAAAATTGATCAAGGTGTCATATCATTCGGGAAATTATCGGTACATATATTTTCTTTAATATTTTATTTTAAATTTAATATTAGTAGATATAATAATAGTATTTTACTGTTACAGTTATATATTATATTTTAACCTGCGAACATGTGACAAGGTGAAAGACGTGTTTGTCTGAAATTAAATAAAATTTTTCATAGAAGTACTAAAATGGCTAAGGTAGCTTGTAAGCATGTATAAACATAATTGTATGAACTGGACACTTTATCTAAATCATAATTTGATGACCACATAGAGTACATACAACTTGTATTACTGTTGGAATGAATTGAAAGATTCTGAACTATATTTGATACCCAATAGGGGTCTGAAATGTTTGGTTACGTTATATGTTAGTGGAGTCGACAACAAACGCAATGAATTTGCATTGAATTGAATGGCAATTAAATTACTGTTCAAACAAAAGCCACAGGAATTGACGGATCAGTTGATTATCATTAGTCTTAAGCACTGAATCCATGGACACAATCGATAGCAAAATGAGCGCTGAATTGGGCGAAGAAGAGGCGAATTCAGTGGAGAATCGAGTGATAGATCTGTTGAACAGCTCGATGTACTCGACCTCCGAGTCGGAAAAGGTGTCAAATCTGGTGAAAGTGCAGGAACTGGTACTTCATAACGATCTGTTGGACAACTTCTTGGACGAGATCCTGGGCTTCCAGAATGACAGGGATGTGGAAGTGAGACGTTTTGTGGTGGGCTTTGTGGAGAACGCCTGCAAAAAGGATTCCGATTACTTCCCGAAAGTGATTATGAACTTAAAGGTGATGTTCGCCGACGACAGCCCTAATGTCGTGAAGAAAGCCATACAAACAGCCAATCAGTTGTACAAAGTGTTCATCAAATGGGTGTCGAAGGCGAAGGTCACTGATTTGGTTGAGTCCACGTATGAGGTGTGGCTTCAGATCAAAGAGCATTTGTTCGCTCTGTTGGACACCGCAGACAACGACGGCATCCGCACCCAAGTCATCAAATTCATGGAAATGATTGTCATCTGCCAGACACCCAAAGACCAGTTCAGTACTGGCGATGAGTTCAATGTGGACCACATGTCGGCCAATGAGTTGATGGATGTGTCCGCTCTGGAGGAAGAGGCCAAACAGGTCTTCGAGTCGCTGATCATATTTCACGGAACGCCTCACATATCGAGCGTCAACTTAATGGCAACGATGCAGACGCTGACACTCGTCGCCAGACAGCGATCGCAACTGTTCTTCTCGAAAGTGATCCAAGCGTTGGAAGCACTTCACGCCAACCTTCCGCCCACTTTAGCCAAGTCTCAGGTGAACTCCGTTCGCAAACAACTCAAACTTCAGCTCTTGATTCTCCTGAAACACCCGATCGCGTCGGCGTCGCCTCCCTTTCAGAGCCAAATCAGTCAACTGTTGACAGATTTAGGCGCCTCTCAGTCGGAGATCAATAAGTGTCTCAATGAGAACCGGAAGCGAGCCATTAAGTTGGAGCCCAAAGACACTGAAGTGAAACGAATCAAATTAGAGGCCGACGACGAGGAGGACGACAACGAACCGGTTGTTCCGCCCGCGAAGATCTCCAGAAATGAGGCCAACACTGCCATTGATATAACTGCCGAAGACATTATCCCGCGTTTGAATGTTATATCGAATGTCAGTGATTTAGTTCTGGTATCGATGCTATCGCTGCCCGACTCTATGCCCGACCACTTCCAGGCCTCGTACACACCAGTGGCCGCCGCCGGCACCGCCTCTCAAATCAAACATTTGGCTCGACTTCTGGCTTCCCAATTGACGGCCGCCGGACTCGGTTTGACACATAAAATGATTTATGAAAACTGTTTAATAAATGAATGCTTTTGACTATAAACAGGAAAAGGTGTGGAGGAAATGGTGGACAAAATGACGAACTCATCGAAAAAGCAATTGAGTGCCGAACAGAACATCGAACAGAACCAGAAGATAGCGATAGTCATCGGACAGACCATCGCTCAGGAGTTGAAAAAACAAGAGCAACAACAGCAACAACACCAGCAAAAAGTACGGCTCCAGCAGTCGGGCAAACAGTTGAGTGGAAGCGTACGAATAAAACAATTAAATTTGGCTGAAATTACTAAACCATTGAACGAAGAGACCAAAAGCCGAATGGCTTTGGAGGCAATCAATAGGATTCTGAAAGACGACAAAAAAGTCTTTTTCTCGACCTCTCAGTTGGAAACGAGAGTTAAGTTATTAGCGATGCTTTCGTGTGAATATCACGACTCATCTAATATCGAGTCTCTAATCAAAAGCTATGCCTTCGAAGACATCAGGAATAGACATGAAATCATATTTAGTACTCTCTATAATGAGTTTGTTTTGGCCAAAAAACGCGGCAATGATTTCACTCACTATTCCCAGTATTTGTTGAAAACACTTCAGGATCTGATGACTAAAACAGAACTCAAAGATCGCGACCACTTTCTCACTAAGTTCTACATCGAGTGTCCGCTACTCACCGATCAATCCATTGAATTACTCAAACATTTTATTTTAAATGACAATTTGTATGCTTTGAGTGTTAGTACAGGTATTAACATATTGAAGGACTTGATTGAAAAGAAGCGAAAGCAAAGCGTTAGCTTATTATCTCTTTTACTGGATTTGTGTCTCCAGTCAGAGATGTCGGACGTTAGGACACAATCTGTGAAAACTGCAAAGAGTTTACACGAATCACAAGATGACAATAGTATTAGACTTCCTATAGAAGAGTTTGCTCTCAAGACGTTGAGGTATTTACTGGAAGCCAAACCCCCGGCCCTTATAGACAAAGAGAATGTCGGCGTTTGGAGCGATGATATCATTAAGTTATGTCTCGTTTTATATTTGAGTCTTTTGCCAACGAATCACAAACTTATACACGACTTAGCGGTCGTGTATGTCGGCACCAGTGCTGACACTAAACGCATTATATTAAGAGTACTCGAAGGCCCTGTCAAAGGCATGGGAATGAATTCACCCGAACTATTACTTCTGGTCGAGAACTGTCCAAAAGGTGCCGAAACACTAGTGACTAGAATTATACACGTATTGACTGACAAACAGCCGCCGAGTGCTGAATTGGTTTCAAGAGTCAGAGATTTGTACCATAAAAGAGTTCCAGACGTGAGGTTTTTGATCCCAGTTCTTAACGGCTTATCCAAAGGTGAAGTCATAGCAGCGCTGCCCAAACTCATCAAATTGAATCCCATTGTCGTCAAAGAAGTGTTCAATCGTCTACTTGGAGCCCACGGTACGTCTCATTACACCACTTGTTACTCGTTAGTTGATCTCAATTTGAATGTATTTTGTTTGCAGTGGAGTCGGGCACTAATTTTCAGAGTCCGTTAAGTCCGGCAGAACTACTCGTGGCCTTACATACAATCGACACAACAAAATGTGAGATTAAGACTATAATAAAGGCCACGAACTTGTGTTTCGCTGAGACCAACATCTATACGGCAGAGGTATTGGCAATTGTGATGCAACTGCTGATGGAAAACAATCCATTGCCCACTTTACTCATGCGGACAGTCATTCAGAGTCTGTCTCAATACCCGCGCCTAATTGGCTTTGTTATGAATATATTGCAGCGATTGATACTAAAGCAGGTCTGGAAACAGAAAAGAGTTTGGGAGGGATTCATAAAGTGCTGCCAAAGAACTAAACCCCAAAGTTTTCAAGTGTTACTCCAACTCCCGGCTCCTCAACTCAAAGCAGTGTTTGTGTCGAGTCCTGACTTACAGCCGGCTCTTCAACAACACGCCGAGACATTCACAGACCACCAGCGCTCACATATACCTCAACAGATTTTAGACATTATTTTCCAATCCACTGATACAACCAATGAGTCACAACCTAATGAAACAGTCCCCGAGACTCCCAATCAAGAGCCAGAGTCACTCAGTGAACAGATATCTACATAGTATTTGCCATCACTTCTATGTATTTCTTTATATTCAATTAACATAAAAATCATTTTTATTTGAAAATCAATGAAATAAATTTACTTTTCAATACAAATCTATACCAGTGAATATCTATACTATTTGAATATTCTACAGTATATACCCCTAAAATAGTATTTATATAATGGATTAAATGGTGTCTCGAAGCCCTGTCTTGTCCTTTATTCGAATATAAGTTCAATTTAATGATCTAGTTTAAATTGAGGCTTAAAATGCTAATCAAACCATTAATACCGAACTTTGGATTACTTTGGGTCTCACTTCTCAATAATATTATGATTTATAGCATTAGAAAATATATATATAGATATTATTTAGTAGCTGTATGTATGGCACATACGGCAATCGGCATTTTGTGTTAAAACATGGAAAACAATTGGAACTTACAATGAATACTAAATACAATATATTTAACAATAGTTTAGAATAGTGTTGGAAATATTGTGAAATAGTTATAAAAGTCAATAATATAGCGATTATGCGGTGATTCCTTCGATGGATAAGTAGGGAATGAAGTTCAGGATGAGTTGCTCGCAAAACAAATAGAAGTCATATATTTTAATGATTAGTATTTCATGAGTTTGCGCTTTGGTTAGAGAGGTCTCAGTATAAGACTATACGCTCGTTGTCCCTAAGAATGGCTCGTATTGTAGATCGGCTTTCATTAGGAAATGGCTGTTTTCCACCACCAATTCACTTGTTCTGAACCTATTTGAGATCAAATCCTTTCATTCATCACTTATTCATAACTCATCACTTGTTCACAAACTTTTCAGATGACTATAGAAGCAACCAAAATGGGGTGAGTCTTGACATACGATTATCACGACATTCGTTTCAATTGCCATCATTTGTCACAAGCGATTGCATTGAGATCTATGTTCCATATATTGGCCACTATTTCACACTTCATCAAATTGTCTATTCAATTCAATTGCCGTAATATCATATACTAATACCATATTAAATACAATCAATTTCATATAGCTAATTATCAACTAGCTAGAACAAATCTAATCGCGATTCTAAATATAAATATAAATATATACATGTATATATAAATTTTTTTGTTGTGTATATTCATTGACTATTTATGTGAATTAGTCCACTTTTACATCATTTAATTGTAATATGAAAGTAATTTAGATATTTTACTATCATTTTATGTATTGAAAGACAGAATACCAGTAAATGATCGAAAAAATAGCATTTGAATGGAAAATTGAATACAGGTATGAATATACCATAAATTAAATAAATTGAACAGCGAGTCTATGAAAGGCTATTATTTATTGCATTAATTAGATTCACACGATTTTTGCAATTAAGACAAGTTTTGTATGAATTCTTAGGAAATAATTGAATGAGACTTTCAATGCAATTAATGGCATTGAATTGAAACACAAAATCGTGTTTTAATCGTTTTGGAGGCAATTGGCAAATGGATTAGATTTAGACTAAAGAATTGTATGAATTGTTGTATGAATTGAATGTTTGAATGTCTGTATAGAGAACAACCCATTTTCACGACTAAAGCCCATGTCTTCCACATTGACCCGCAAACCAAGAGGTCATGGATTCCCGCGAGTTCTCAAGCGGTTAACGTTAGCTTCTTCTATGACTCCAACAGAAACTTATATCGGATTATAAGTGTTGAATCAACTAAGGTATGCCTACTTTGTCCATTCAATCAAATAATACACTACAGTATTGCAGTCCATTAAACCAATTAATCAATTAGACGTAAGATTTGTGCCAATTTCTGGACTTAATTGAAGTTTTTTAAAATTCAGAGTCAGTCTAACGCGGAAATTATTTATCGATCAAATAACTCAACAATTGATTCGTTTGTATAATAATAGCTGTGTTTGATGTGTCTTTCCATTAATAGGCTGTCATTAATAGCACAATCACTCCGAACATGACTTTCACTAAAACATCACAAAAATTTGGTCAGTGGTCTGATATTCGTGCCAATACTGTATATGGCTTAGGCTTTGCATCAGAACCTGATTTAAATAAGGTTTGACTCACTCTTATATCCTATCACTTTACAACACTTATTCCCTATAATAAATCACTTGAGTCCTATTTTTCATATTTTTAGATTAATTGTTTAAAATAATAGTAATTTTATTATTTGTTTGTTAAATAATATTTGATACAAAATCTGATAGTTTTCATAAAGTTTTTCATTGAAATCAAAGTCACGACTCATAACTTAATTTTTATTCAAAACTTCGATAAATAGTATAATCATTGTACAATTACTAATATTGTTTGCACATTATTACATAAGTTTATTTCACATCACACTATTTTGTGATATTTAATACAAATAGCAATAAACTTTATTTTGATTACAAATACAGATATTATTTTTAGGCAAAAATTCTGAGAACACCTGAAAATTACCTGTTTTCATGTCAGCATATTTTCTCTTTATTAACCGCACTCTTAAAACAGGCATTAATTAGGTTTTATAATTTTATGTGATTTATTATATTGGATTTGCCAATTGTTTTAATCACTGGAACTGATGACCAGTATGTCTGATATGAACTGCTTTTATAGTTTATCGAGAAATTCCAAGAAGTGAAGGAAGCGACCAGAAGTGCGGCTCAACATAAGGCTCAGTACTCTAACGGCACAATCGGCTCACAACATGTCACGAATGCCAACCAAAACGCTAATAACCGGGACTCCAATCAGAACAACGATTTGGCAAACGATGATATGATAGTTAAGGGCCCTAACAGTCAATTATGTGTCGACCCATCAGTTAGCGTAACACTTCCTATCCATACCAATGAACACAAAGGCTCTCTCGTCGCTCACCAAAGAAGTCAGAGTCTGTCCGGACTTCAGGCCAACAAAGTATTTATTTTAATAAATTGGTGTAATATTTATTTTTAGCATTTTCAAATTGTATTTTCTCTGCTGTATGCAGTTATTGACAGAGAGCCCCAAATATGGTCAAAAGGATAAGCAGTCAATGGGATCGGCATCACTGCCACAGTCCTCGGCGGAGGCACAACTCAGATATGAAAACGATAGACTCAAACTAGCACTCGCACAGAGGTTCATACATGTCTTATTAATAAGTTATCTCAATTTGTTTAAAAATTAAATTTAGACTTACCTAGGTAGTTCTAATGCATAAGTTTTACTAATTTCTTTCAAATGCATTCAATTAAAATATATTTCTTTAAATCAAACTAACAGTTCAACAAATGCTAAGAAATGGGAAATAGAGTTACAAACTCTTAAAAGTAATAACACGCGACTGACTAATGCTCTTCAGGAGTCAACGGCTAATGTAGAGGAATGGAAACGACAGTTACAGACATTGAAAGAGGAGAACAATAAAATGAGACATAAAGTATTGGTTTACAAATACAGTCACATTATATTACATTTATTGTAAACACTCTCTCTGTAATGAATAGGTGATAGAACTGGAGGCCAGTAATGGAAATCCAGAAGCGATGGCAGAACTCCGCAAAGAGATGGGAAGCTTGAGGTCGAGAGCTGAACATCTGGACTCAGAGGTGCGACAAAAGGATAAAGAAATGGAACAAATGAAGAAACGTCTGGACGATCAAAGCCACATATATAGCACTTCCCATAAAGTGGAGGACAAACTTAAGGTTTGCAGCTTTTTATTCAATTTAATTATAATTGACTTAAATATGAAATTAAATACAAAACTATTATAAGTTGTGAAGCAAACAGAAGATTCTGTGAATACAATACAATATGACAAATAATTATTTTCATATATTTATTGATTTATTGATTAATATATTTGATATTTGCTTAACGAAAGGCTTTACTCCATGAGAACGAGAATCTTCGGACTCAATTGAATCGATTACACGATCAAAACGATAACAACAAGATTACAGACAAAGCCCGACAAGGATTTCTGGAACAACTGAACAAACGTTTAGCTCAAAACATTCAAGAACTCCGATGTATTCAACAAGAATTCGCCGCTTTGTTGAACACTTCCTGATTCTGTGGCCAAACACACAAATCTTAAACTAATTTCTGTTATCATTATTATTATTGATCTGATATTTAATTTCATGAACTGGCTCATTCGAACAAAAAATATTTAAATTATATATTATTTGAGATAAACATGAGTTGAAAAAAACAATTATAAAACTAGTGATTACTTAATAGTGATTTAACAAAATATATACAAATTGTGTAAATAATTTAAATGCAAATAATAAATGGATCGAAATCTCTATAATTTTATTTATTCATTTAATAGTTTATATAAATAAAATATATATTTTAGATTCAATTGAAAATCAAATCACATCTACAGTAGCAAAGTATAAAAATGTGTGAATTTAAATATTTTAGTCTTTGGGATAATCTTTGTTTTAAATAATTTATAAATACTTTTCATGCGATTTACCTTGTCTACCACTTGCCAATAAATATCCTTTTAATTGCATCATTAATGCTATTATATTGGGAGCCTTTAGTTGTCTTCCAGCACTTGCAGCTGCCGTTCACTAGAAATTATTTTCATTATTAAACCATTAAATTAGAAATTATTAGAAATTAGTCAATTATTCACCTAGAAACCAATCATAGTAGACACGAATCACATAACAGCCTATTTTGTCGTAACCATCGCACTCTTTCACTGGAGTTTTTGTATTCTTTGCCACCAATTCTTCGGCGTCTAAACCATCTATTTCTTGGATTTTCGCTTTTCCCACTACTTTCCTGCCATTTCTGGGAGTGATCTGTTGTTGTCTATAGTTCTGTTCCTCCGACACATCCATTCGTCTCAAATCATCGCCATATTGTGGCAATTGTGGCATTTGTGGCAAATTCATCGTTGGAGTGATTCTTGTCTTCAGTTTGTGATTATTCTTAACACTAATTATTTGATTGTTTTGATTGTAATTAATGGGTTGCTCTCCGCTAACGGGAAAATATACGTCCGGATAAAATATTTCCGCCACCAATAAACTGACCCATCTGTCAAATAAATGTATTGTTTGGTAATAATGATGATTATGCTTAGAAATGTGGTTTATAATACCTAGGTGATTCAGAACATGCTCCGTCTATAAAATCGCACTTATTTTTACTACAGTAAAGATATTTTAATAAAATTCTTTTCATTGTTTTTCATTTCTTAAAATATAAGATAAGATTCTTTGAATACTTACAGACATGTAGTTCTCTGAATAGTTTGTGTGAAATATCTATACAAAAAAAATAAAAATGTGATTTGACTTATAATTTTTCATTGTTTTTCATTTCTTAAAATATAAGATAAGATTCTTTGAATACTTACAGACATGTAGTTCTCTGAATAGTTTGTGTGAAATATCTATACAAAAAAAATAAAAATGTGATTTGACTTATAATTTAGTACTGGAAAAATATGTTTTAATAAGTTATAATAGCACAAAGAATTTTGTTTTTCTAATATTTTACTTAATATATGATGAGTGAAAAGAGTTAAGGTTAAATTATTGATAAAACTAAAACCGATCAAATTTTAAATTCCTGATTCAAATTTAATATACTGAAAAGTTTTATGATACTGTATAGTTTATTAGTTAATTATTCTGTCAAATTAATGTGCCAGTATTAATTTCTATAAAAATATTAGTATAAATAATATTTAATAATTTAATAATATTATTTATTAAAATGTTATTCTAAATATTCAAGTTTTATTCATAAATTGAAATATTAAAGAATCAGTTATGGTGTTTATACTGTATAACAAGTAATTTTAATATTTTAATGAATCAACAATTACCCTTCACTTGGAATTTGAACGACATATTTCCAGATACCCTGGTAATTGCGAGCAAATGTGGGAGATATATATTCCTCCATGGCTGGACAGGGAGTTGTGGACTGTTCAGTTGGTTCCGGCAATAAGTCTTCGGGTTCGAGAGGCTTTCGACGTCTGGACGGAAACTTATTTGAATTTTGAAAACTTGAAATATAATCAATAATAGAGATCCAAGGACTGTAATTATTGGAACCGCTTATAGTCGATAAAGTCGACAAGACCTGAGATA